GGAGTCCGGGTACTTGGTGAGGGTGGACAGGGAGGTTGTCAGATGTCGACCACCCACATTTAAGTCGATGACAGCGGGGAACTGAAATATAGAACAATACAATATGTGTGCTCATCGTCATCTCAATGAACATCAGTTCACGCATAAACATATCTGAAAACAGATTATAAGGGAGACAACTGATACAGTACAGGGTGAGGAAATATGAAATACTGACCAAAGGTGAATTATTTATTTTAGAGAGTTTCTCATGGGACATCTTTCTTAAATCTTCTTGAACTTTTAATTATTACCATGTCACACTCTTTTTTAACAACGGTCACGCCATCAATTCCTTCTTAACTCTATAGGGGGCACGGGTGGCCCAGTCGTCGGGATTCGCTGTGCAGAGTTGCGTCCCTTGGGCACTCCAGAAACCTGATTGTGGGTTTGAATCCCGGTTCGCCCCGATGATGTTTCTAGGTTTGTCAGCACCATACTTGTGCTCGAGGGTTTCACCGAACTGGTAAAGGCCTGAGACCTGCATCACTTGGGGCTTTCCTCCCATATTAAGCTGACACGCCGCGATATAACTGGAATACTGTTAAATGCGGCGTTAACCCCACTCACTCACTCTTAACTGTATAACGTGAATCTATTCACGACTGGCTGTAAATACATGTATCTAATAAAAACTTGCTTCATTTGCATATAAGTCATGTTCTCCCACCCTGGGCAGAAGGCGACCTCTTAGACACATGGAAAGCAACAACAACACCCTGTCATTCAACTGATGAAGTGGCAAGAAGTAGCCATGAAACATTATGTATGTAGAATATAAAAATGTCTGTCCATAATAACATTCCTTGTCATATTTCCATACAAGTCATGTCCAGTCTCGAAATGACACTGCAATTTGTTAAACATGCAAGGGCGTCTTATTCTGACTCGGAGTCTTTACTTTTTAAATAAAACACGTCTCCGAGGGAAACGTAAAATCGTGAGCGAGGGAAACGCGAGGGTACCTCGCTGGCGGTTTTAGATTTTTGCTGTCGTGTTTTATCCCACTTATGAGCCATCTAAATGCAAGAGATACCGAACAATTAAGAAAACATCGAAATACCGTATAGTGAAATAATACAGCCTTTCGCGGTCCAAAGGAATTCGATCAAAGCATGCGAGAGAAAAACACTTGCAACATGGGCCAGCTGGAGTCATGACATATAACATTTTCAGCACCTGTCCGGTGACTCAGTGGCAAAACAGTGGGTTACAAAACTAAACACGATATGTGAGGTTGTAGGTTTAATTCACGTCATGGAATTTTCATGTAATAAAATGGTGACTTTTAACCAATCCAAACTTTCTAAGCTTACTAAGATTTTTGGGTTGTCTTTGGGTGTTGATAATTTTGTATTTGCTCAATATCTTCTCCATTTTAATACTTTGATTAAAAAAGGCAGGAACCATTGAACCATGGACAATGTTTTTTCATGTTGAGGGTTGAAGGTAGACATTAGAGTTAAATTATTCCCCAAATCGTTTTCTTCAGATTTCTCTCTCAGTTTTGGTTGCTCAATGCGAAGTGCTGTGCGTATGCTATCTTCAATTAGCTTTGCGGGATAATTTTGATCCAAACTCTAAAGTTCAGCTAGCAAGGCGGGTAGTTTTAACATCATTCCCGGAAACAATGGTACAAAAACGTCTTGCGAGATAGTGAGGGATATTACGTTTTGAATGATACGGGTGACATGATGCAAAATCCAAATATTGGTGCATATCAGTATCTTTATAAAAGATATCAGTTTGTCCAAATTTTCCAGATATTAAATTGAGTCTTACACCGAGAAAGGTTAAACTGGATTCGCTTTTTTCCATATTGAAATTGAGTGACGCATTGAGTGAATTTAGTATGTAACAAGGCATACACCTCGCGCTACAGGTGGGTGGGAGCGGAGATCACGCGACACCATGATGGGGCGGCAATGTCACCAGGACAAGTTGATCTTACATCTAATGCCGGCTATATACTTACACCTGAAGACATTTTGCGAAGCACCAGCTGATAGATTGATGTTGGTCCTTGATAACAGTGTTTCCTGTAATATAGGCGTGCCGTCTTGTTCCTTGATTTACACAAGTAGTGTCAAGCTGCAAGTTGCCTTCCAGTCAATGAAAGTCACATGACCCGTCACACGTTGACCTAACCTCAATCCAACAGCTGTTATCTATCAGTTTTTATTTCTGTAAGGATGGCAGATTGAGACATGACAGCAAGATACATTCACTATAGCAGTATCGTTGTTTTTGTTTGTTGTTGCTTTAAGTATTTAGAAGTCGCCTTCTATCAAAGCAATTTTGGCTGACCTGTACCGCGTTGGGACTCAAAGAGTAAGTTGTCTTGGAGATTTTACGACCGCTTCAGACTCAGTCTGTTTCGGAGTCGGAGGCAGGCTTGGGTGAATTGGGAGATAATATTATGGATGATATCGGGGCATGGTTTTGCGTGTGTCTGTATCTACTTCTTACCATGACAATAAACACTAATACAAGTTTTGTTTTTATTTATGTAAATACTAAACAAAGCGGCAAAAGAAAGTATAGGTTGGCAATTTATAATTTTCCTAAAACTAGCGATAACTGGTGGAAAGTGGGCATTGGGAAAATGACTGCCAAGGAACAGGTACCAAAAAACACCTCACCCGAACGAGCCACCTTTGACGGCGCTCGTGCGGTGACAAAAAAAGGTGGAACAGGTTTCCCGCCTATGGCATAAACTGCACGTGCATGTTAGCTGTATAAATGCGTTCGTCTGCAGGGTTTTACCACACGTGATGAAAGCACACAAAAGAAATGCCACGACTGTCACAGGAGCAGAGAGAGAGAGAGAGAGAGAGAGAGAGAGAGAGAGAGAGAGAGAGAGAGAGAGAGAGAGAGAGAGAGAGAGAGAGAGAGAGAGAGAGAGAGAGAGAGAGAGCCATCGGTATGACCGAAATTGGGGCAACACATGTCCAAATTGCCAGAAGGTTTGGTTGTACACCATTGACAGTAGCCAGGCTGATTCAACGGTACAGGAAGACAGGGAGGACACAGGACAGGCCTAGAACCGACCATCTTGACAGACAGATTAGGGCACGCCATCAGCCTCCCGTCAACAGACAACAATTGCAGCAGGCCCTGAGACGAGTGGCAACGGATTCCAGTCCACGTCATCAGAAGACTGACGTCATTGATGAGGCGGCGTATTACAGCAAGCATGAGGCAACTGGAGGTCATACACGCTATTGAAGGCAACTGTGTCGACAATGAACTTGTAGAGTGTCTGACAATTGTTTGGTACATTTCAGAAAACATTTGAAAATGAAATTTCTTACCCCACCTTTGTTTACCTTGAGCTTACATTACCTGTGATTGGTGGGGAGGAAGGGTGTGTGTGTATATAATCAGTAATTTGATAATTCACCACCCAACATATGTAAGGTGCCATAAGATCAGAATATCATATGAGGCAATGATGCATGTTTCCCAATTACGACAAACATCGAATGGATTCAGACAAAATTCAATGTATAAACATCAGGGAATCAAGCTACATATGACGGTGGATATGACACCTACTTCATTTTGTTTGTTTGTTGTTTAATCCCGCACTCAGCAACATTCCAGCTATATGGCGGCGCTCTGTAAATCATCGAGTCTGGACCAGACAATCCAGTGCTTGACATCATGAGCATAGAACATATACTTTCGCTTACATTTCTGGAAAGTATGGAGGACAACTAGGCTCTCTGGCCTAACACAACAGCTTAAAGCTAGTTTGTGACAGTCTGAACTGATTTTGATATCTGATATTGCAAGACCGATACCCAGCTGTGTGCTTATTAATACATGTATCTGAATCACCACACTTTGTAACAAGGCATGTTTCCGCGACGGAGGCAGATGTATGCGACGATCCCGCGAGACACTAAGGTATCATTGTGCCAAAGTGAACAGGAAATTCTTCACCTAACGCAAGTAGTAATTACACTAGAAGACATACTACGAAACACGAGTTGGTAGTTCGATGTTGGTCCTATAAAGATAGCGTTTGCTGTGTTCTCTGTGCACTGGCTGTTTACCGTGAGAGATTAGGTATGCCGTCACTTTAATTATTTATTATCTTGTTTTTTGCTTTCAGATATGTGCGTCCTGCACCTGTGTATAGCACCCGATCCCGTCAGTCGCAGATAACGGCAAGCATTCGTTGTGAAGACCTATTCTACCCACACTCTTACTTCCTGCGTTTTAATATTCTCAACTAGTTTTACATCGCATCTATGATATTTTAGTTATTGTACTGTCCATCGTTTGACAGGTTTTTATTTATTCTAAATATTTGTATTTTTAATGCATAACTTCTCTTTACGATATGGCTGAAATACTCCCGATATGACGTTACATACTCACTCACTCACTCACTCACTCACTCATTCACTCTACCCCTACTTCATTAATTAAATAGAGAACTCCAGTTTGCCTTTCTCCATGAACACTCTTATGCAAAGTGAGTTAAGGTTCTTATTAGATCACAATTCCTTTGACGTGAATTTGTGATTTGTTCAGATTTTACACAATCGAGGCACCAATGCTTTTGATGCGGTGAATTATAATATACCGCCAACGCCAGGGCATAAAAGTATCGAGTATTATTATCCGCAGAACAATGTTTTGAGGCTTAAAAGACAAAACAGCGGTGACAATTTGAATGGATCACTAAAAGTGATGACACCAGGTGTTCGCGAAAAGGGGGAGAATGTCCTGCCCTACCGGTAGCATTTGGGCAGTAACATGTTTCGGTAGACTCATCGCACTGGGGAAACATCGGATACACACGGTTTGGACACATTAGACAGAAATGTTGCTGCTGTGACCTAAGATGCCTACTCATCCTCACACTTGATATGCAGTAAAGTAAATGTTGACACTTTTTCTTGAACCACAGAGTTTCAATAGGAAAAACAATTACATCGTACACTCACCTCCATAATGTCAAAATGTACGTTGTGAAGTCCACAGTTGTAAGTATTGTAATAGTGCAAATCGTTTCAATACTTTTATTTAACATTTCATTTATCTAAATACCTAACTGGTTCAATATGTTTCCAAGTCCACCGAAATTCTATGCCCTTTGTCTGTTTTATATATTCAGTAACCATTCGGCGTATCCCCTCTTATCATAAGCCCCTCCGGGCAGGACCCTTAATCTCCAGCGCTATCTATAAATTTCAATTTACACCTCCTAACGTCGCCGGAGCTTACGTGTATAAATACACGTGGGACAATGACCTTGCCACACGTTACGTAATACCTCGCTCTACAAAACCCGACTGACCTGGTCAGTCAGGGAGACAGCCTGGAGACAGCCAGAAGATCGACTCGTGTAAGTGACAGAACGGTTCTCGCACCCGGGAAGATTGGCCACTCGGTCCCGGTGTGCGTTCTGTCACGTTCTTATCAACATGTACCTTTTCGATTTATTCCAAACCATCAACAATAAACATGGCTGCTGTCGTCTAAACTTCACCCCTGAGTTTTGTCTACCGTCATCACCCTGAGCTACCATCCGAGGGCCGAAACTAACGCCCTTGGACAGATGATGGAGAATTATCCGGGTAGCGTGAGTTTGCTGTGAGTGAGTGAGTGAAGTAATGCTTTACGTCACATCGGCAATATTTCAGCCATATCGTGACGAGAAATGAGACATGAAATATACATATATTTAAACTTTATAAAAATCTGTCATCGAAGGACAGTATGATAACTAGAATATCACAGATAAGATTTAAAACTAGTTGCGGAACATTTAAAAGCATTAAGTATTAAGGAACAACACACTATAAAAATGGGCTAGAGATCGTCAGTAACTAAAGGGAGATCACCACACCAGGGACCATGGGGACTTACATTACCTTTGCTTCCTGCATGGACCCCGGCAGGATTTACACCATCCCTTCAGTCGCTGGCGATTATATGCAAGTTTAGCCATGGAATAAAACTAACAAATATACTACGATTTAAAAGTCTGGTATGCAGAAAAATACTACGAATGATTTGGGACTTACATACCCTCTTAGGGGGACAATAATTTTACGCTACTTCAACCCCCCTCGAGGGTACAGCCACTCACAATCTAAGTTATTTATTAGCACTACCAATTTATAAAATAATACATCAAGCACATCAAAATTTATGGACAAGTTCTATTTCTTTTAAAAAACTTAATATTAAATGAGAATTTACATCATTAAAAAGGTCTTTAACTGTTTAGACACTGAAATATTTATCCCTTGTGATGGAAAAATCAATACAGTCAAGCAGGACATGCTTGACCGTCATTCTTTCATCACAAGGGATACAAAACGGAGGATCCTCACCTTTTAATAAATATTCATTTGTGTATCTGCTGTGGCCAATACGACATCGTCGCATAATGACCTCTTCAAATCTGGACTGACATCCCAAGAAGGTATATCCGATATTTGGTTTAATTTCATGTAATTTATTGATACCTACTTGGGCGTCCCACTTCTGTTGCATAAGATCTCGGATGTAAGATCGAATCATGGGTTTAAAATCAGTGTATGGGATTAGAAGTGGTGTCACAGATTTGTTGAGCGCTGCTTTAGCAACAGCATCGGCCAATGTGTTACCAATGATACCAACATGGCTTGGTAACCAACAAAAGACAATGTCATATTGACCAGTAGCAAGATCAGTAAATAACTCAAGAATTTGGATTAAAAGTGGATGTTTTGAAGACATATTTTTAATTGCCTGAAGGCATGAAAGAGAATCTGAAAACAGTATGAATTGTTTATGTTTAGATTGATTACTGATATATTTAAGTGCTGTAAAAATGGAGTTTGCTTCTGCAGTGAATATTGAACTGTTATTAGGTAAACGTGAAGAGATTGTTCTGGATCCAATGACAGTGGCACTAGCAACTGTGCCACCATCCTTGGATCCATCTGTAAATATAGATTTATAACTGTCATAATTGTTTCTTAGTTGATGGTATTCTTGTTGGTATATTGCAGATTTTATTCTGATTCCGAGTGGTGGAGTAAGTGTTGATTTCTTATTGTAAAGATCTTCGTAGAGAGGATTAAATATGCATTCAAAAGCTGGATTGGACTGATTAGAATATAATTTAGTGATGTATTGTAAAGATAATTTTAGTCGGCGTTGTTTAAGAGAAGGCTCATCTGCTTCTATATAGAGACTGTGAATGGGAGCCGTTCTGAAGGCTCCAAGGCAAAGCCTCAGACCCTGATTATGTATCGTATCTAGTTTTTGTAAATTACTTTTGCAGACTCCACCATAGACGACGGAGCCATAATCAAGTTTTGAACGGATCAGTGACCTGTATAAGTGTAAGAGGGTTGTTTGATCCCCTCCCCACTTTGAATTGGAAACAACTTTCAAGAGATCGAGTGCCTTCAGGCATTTAGCTTTTAGGTATTTTATATGTGGAAGGAAAGTTAAGTGGTTATCAAAAATAAGTCCCAAGAACTTGGCCTCCTTAACAACTTTGATAGGAGTGCCATTCAGAATAAGTTCAGGGTCCTTATGTGGCTTATATTTTCTGCAGAAATGTATACAATTAGTTTTTGATTTGGAAAATTTAAACCCGTTTTCTAAACACCACTTGTGAATTTTATTAAGACATAATTGTAATTGCCTTTCTATTGTGCGCATATTTTTACCACGACAAGATAGATTAAAATCATCCACAAAAAGTGATCCATCAACTGAATCATTTAAAACTTTGGACAAACTGTTAATTTTTATACTGAATAAAGTGACAGACAAAATACTGCCTTGTGGGACACCCTGGTCCTGATTATAATGATCAGACAGGGTTGTACCCACTCGGACTTGAAATTGCCTGTCTGTTAAAAACTGTGATATGAAATGAGGCAAACGGCCTCTTAATCCAAAATCATGAAGATCTTTTAAAATACCATGTTTCCATGTTGTATCGTATGCTTTTTCTAAATCGAAAAAGATCGATACAGCATGTTGTCTATTTACAATGGAATTTTTAATAAACGATTCTAAACGCACTAAATGATCGATAGTACTTCTGTTTTTCCGGAAAGCGCATTGTATATTGGTAAGAAGATAATTTGTTTCCAAGTACCACACTAATCGATTATTTACCATGCGTTCCATCGTTTTACAAACACAGCTAGTTAGAGAGATAGGTCGGTAATTTGAAGGATCATTATGATCCCGCCCAGGTTTTGGTATTGGTATAACAATGGCATTATGCCATGAAGGTGGAAACGTCCCTGATGTCCAAATGTCATCGAAAATAGTCAACAAAGTTTCAAGGCATGATTCGGGCAAGTGTTTCAGTAACTGATAATGAATATTATCAGCGCCTGCTGCTGTATCATGAGCTTGCCCTAGGGCAGTATATAGCTCATGTAGTGAAAATACCTCATTGTAATCATTGTAAACCATTATCAGATGTAAAATTTACTTTTTTCTTTTCCTGTTGGAGCTGATATTTTTGAAATTCGGGAACGTAATTAAATGAAGACGAATGTTGAGATAATGTTTCCCAAGTCTATTGGCAATAGCAGTTTTATCAGTTAGTAAAGTATCGCCATCCTTCAGATGGTTAACTGTAGAATTTGATCCCTTGCCTTTGATCTTTTTAATCATGTTCCATACCTTGGACATAGGTGTACGAGTGTTTATTTTGGAGACACAGTTTCTCCATGATAGACGTTTATTTTGCTTAAATAGACGTCTTGCCTTAGCATTTGAAATTTTGACAGTGTTTAAATTATGGACAGTGGGATGTTTACGGAAGTATTTCTCCGCCTTCTTACAACATTTCCTAGCTTGTTTGCAAGTGTCATCAAACCATGGTTTACGAACACGTGGGTTGACGGAGGACTTAGGAATTGATTCATCAGCAATTTTCTTCAGTTGATCTGAGAACAACTGAATCGGGTCAGTAACATTCTGTAAAGACGTAGGTTGTAATTTATCTTTGCATAAAGACTGAAATAAAGGCCAATCAGCCTTCAAAAAATTCCATCGAGGTGAAGGTGGATCATCAGCGGGAATAATTGGTTTAAGTACAGTGGGGAAATGGTCTAATCCACACAGGTCATCGTGGACTGACCAGGAGAATTCGTGTAACAAAACTGAATCTGTCAGAGACAGATGGAGAGATGAATACGTGCCAGTAGCAGGGTGTAAATACGTATCGGAGTCATCATTAAAGATGCAGAGATCATTATCGGAAACAAAATCCTCGATCACTTTTCCCTTTTGATTAATGATTGCACTTCCCCATAAAGGATTATGCCCATTTAGATCACCCATGATAACACAGGGTTTTGGGAGCTGGTCGTATAGTTTTTGTAGATCATTACGCTGAAGATTTGAAGAAGGTGGAATGTATAAGGAGCAAAGTGTCAAGGCAATATGCAGTGTAAGTCTAACTGCAACTGCTTGCAGATTTGTGTCAAGCGGAACAGGACTGTGAACAACGCCCCGCTGCACCAAAATAGTAGCTCCTCCAGTAGCTTTATCACCCGGAGGAGAAAAAGAATGATAGGAACTATACTGCCTTAATTCAAATTTATCTGTATGTTTTAGGTACGTCTCTTGTAAACAAATTGCTGATGGACTTAAATCTGTTGTTAATAATTGCAATTCGTGAAAATTGTGCCTAAGTCCTCTGCAATTCCATTGAAATGTATTTGAATGGTTCATGGCGGTTCTATAGGAAATCGCTCACGTGAACGTAAAGAAGAGTCACCACTCATGGAAGACGGAGTAACATCCATCTCGAGAGGATCAAGGTAATTGTGAACATCTACAGCACGACTTTTTTAGCCTCCTGAAAAGAAATGTTGTTTTTACATTTGACAGTTAAGATTTCCTTTTCATGATTCCAAAGAGGACAGGATTTCGAAGACGCAACATGTTTACCCATACAATTAGCACATTTGGGGTCAGCTGTAC